CACCCCCCACACAGAGGCAGACTAGAGCCAACCAGCCACACGCCGAGAAGTCCTCGTCACATCAACGGTAACGCCATCACATTCAAACCCTCAATCAAGATTCAGGACTCGGGGATTCCAAAAGATGACGCCCCAGTCAATCTCATGCAGGTTTGTTTAAACGCTTGTCAGGGAGAATTCCATTTGTAGCAATATCAGGAGGTGGAAAGGACATTTGCGGCTGTACGATATTTCGGTTATTTTTAATAGAGTATCTCATTTGCGGCAAAGCCGTAAGTCGAATGTTGGCACATCTCTTTTGCGGCAATACAATATTGATAACCGTATTTAAACCGTATGGCTTTGCTCAAGATAGGAGGGCAGAATTGGGGGATTTAAATGAAACGCCACTAGGATTCGACACTTATATCATCTATTTGTCTTGCAAGTGCCGTAAAACTCTTACTTATACCAATTTTTCCGTCTACTGACAGCTGCTGAGAAAAGATCTAACGACTCCTGGTGGTCGCGACTCTCCCTCAAGTAGCATCCTGCTCACCGTGAACACGCCCCCTCAGTTGTACAACGTCCGGGAGACAGACACGCATGCGCCGAATCCAGCCAATGAGACGGCAGGAGACATGAAGAACTATCACGTGCTCGGTGGTGCGGATCAGCAGGACTATGGGGAGCTGCCATTGGATGACGACAGATCAATGAGAACCCCTGTTATGGTGTTGCCCATCAAGAGACCAGGGTGAGTGATTCGGTCTATCTTTTATTCTTGCGCTGAAGCAGAGATACCTTTCTTACTTTCTTAATCACTATGATCAATGAAGGAACGCACGCACGTAGCCTTCACATCCACACAAACACGCACATACACACAGACACGTTCACACATACGCACACATACGCACACATACAAGCACACACCCCCCCACACACACACACCAATAGCTCATACGTTCACCAGTACATATAGATACACAAATGGTCAAGCCAAGGAATAATGGGTTCGTATCCACCCTCCCCAGTTACCAACCATAACAACACCCTACTCCCCCTCCCAGTCTGAAAGAGTTCCTCTCAGCTCGGTGCCCTCTTCCTTGAGAGTATAGAAGCAAACGCTCTGCCTTCAAGATAAACGAAGTGTTATTTCATAAACAGTTACCTTCAATCTGAACAAATGTTCTAGAAACTAACAGGATTCCCCTTTCACTTTGATCTTCTTTTCTACTGGAAAAAAAGATACACCCCCTCCCCCCAAAAAAAGAACAAATTATTTTTTTTTTTAAAGAACCACGGATGGTTGAAGGCTGTCAAAATCGTCTATTTAACTTCTTTCCAGTATTAATATAGCCAGAGTGTGTTCCTGGCGAAACTTGGTTGTTATCGCTCTAACACTTTACTAACGGATTCTAAGTAGCAATGACAGTGCACGCCCAATCATTGACAGGCGTGGAATGGAAATCTGCAAAGGAAAAAAATCAACGTCAATGATACCAACAAGTGAAGATAAGAATGATAAAATAGCAAACACACACACACACACACACACACACACACACACACACACACACACATACACACACACACATACAAAAAAAAAAACCAACCAGACACGCTTTTGTTGAAAATTTGTTTACCTGCCAAGAAGTACGGTATTCAATCTACCTGCACTCATTCACCTTGCCATAAAGGGCTGAGGTGTAGCATGGAAGGGACTTGACTACAGTTCTGACTTTCTGGGTTTCTAGACTTGCTCCTTAAAGAGCACCAGAAAAGAAGAATGTAGTTGAATAACCTTTTCAAAAAACACACACCTACACACGGATAAAAATAAATGGAAATGGCTGACAAACTACCCTAACCTCGCTTTACAACCCAGATGGCGTTTGTATAGGATTGTATATAGGAAAAAGTAAAGACACAATAGCAACAATACCAGGAACAACACCAGCAATACCTGAAGACCATTATGAAAAGACGATCAAAGTCACAAACTCGCCATTACTGAATCCTTGCATTTCGTATACGCAGTAATTTTCAAATCCTTTTACAAAGAACAATCCTATCAAACAGAAAACGTACTCAGTCCTGAATGTAGGGGCTTTTGACCCTTGAAAATGGGTGCTTTGGAAAAAAGAAGCTAACACAGTACAATGAGCATAACATTTTAGATCTAACTTTTGCTTTTCTCTAAACCTAAAATTGTGACTTTGATCGATTTTTCTCAACATGGTCGGATCACCTGCTCTTGCGGCAACCACGCAGCCTGGCCGTCATGGATGAGGAATATGACGACTATGACGATGACGACGACGACCTGATGATTGACACGCCAGGGCGGAGCTCGCTGGTCGCAGCCACTCAGGGCATGTTTGGGGAGGATGCCCTATGCCCTGTGACACGCCTACCCGGCATAGCAGAGGACACGGCCATCTTGCACAGGTGACGTCACAGTTGGACGCGTTCAGAGATTGTTTTTTTTTAAAAGTTGTATCTTATTTCCTAAAAGTTTGAAAATCCAAACATTTAGTGTATGTAACATATAAATGTGTTGAAAGTTAAAAGTTGAAAACAAAATTACAGTACTACAGCATAATATTAATTGATTCAAAGTTCTGATATTCAAACAATGTTATGTATCTGATTAACTGTCAAGCTAAAGTTCAAACCTTTTTATAACATAACAATTTGAAGGCGCCAATAACCTGGGAAATTCGTCAAAAGTTGGAGGCAGAGCTTTTGACTCAACCGCAGTGCAGAAAGGAAGGGTTTCAGAAAAAGAATTATCCCCCCCC